GTGCGGGCGTCTAAGGACGCTGTGCTCTTGGGGGTTGCAGGTGGCCATCAAGCACGTGGAGAAGGACCGGATCTCTGACTGGGGCGAGCTGGTGAGCACCGGGGCGCGCGACCACCCGGATGGCGCGGGGCTGGGTGGGTGGCCTGGGGGGAGCGCGCGCGCCTCGCCGTCTCCTGCGTCCCCGCTCACCGCTCCCCTCCTCGGTCCCCGCAGCCCAATGGCACCCGGGTGCCCATGGAAGTGGTCCTGCTGAAGAAGGTCAGCTCGGGCTTCTCCGGCGTCATCAGGCTCCTGGACTGGTTCGAGAGGCCCGACAGTTTCGTGCTGATCCTGGAGAGGCCCGAGCCGGTGCAAGACCTCTTCGACTTCATCACGGAAAGGGGGGCCCTCCAGGAGGAGCTGGCGCGCAGCTTCTTCGGGCAGGTGCTGGAGGCCGTGCGCCACTGCCACGACTGCGGGGTGCTGCACCGCGACATCAAGGACGAGAACATCCTCATCGACCTCAGCCGCGGCGAGCTCAAGCTCATCGACTTCGGGTCGGGGGCGCTGCTCAAGGACACAGTCTACACGGACTTCGATGGTGAGCTGCCCCCGGGGTGCTGCCTAGGTGACCTGGCCTGGCCCCGAAGCTTCACCAGCCGGGCCTTTGTAAAGGTCACTGGGCCTCCGGGCTTGGCGCTGGCCGGGGTGGGGCGTAGCAGAGCTTCCCGGCTGTGCCGGGGATTCCAGGCCAGCTGAACCTGTAATGCTTCTGGCATGATTGAATTTTTTTTCAGTGGAATTCAGTGGGTTCCAAGCTTTCCCGATGAATAAGAGCTTGTGGGCCACGGGCCGTAGCCCAGATTTCCAAAGTCTGACCCACTTTCCCGTCTGGGAAAGCGATGGCGGGTGGGAGGAGAGAGAGGAGAGGCGGCGCTGATGGGGATTTTTGTTAATTTCTGTTTTGGTTTATAAGGGAGTTTAGTTTTCCTGTTTGACCCCTTTGATCTAGGGTGAGGGTTCTGAAAAATGGTTTCACTAAGTAAAATTTTCCTTTTTCTTTCGGTGTCGTGGGGCCGGGGACTCAGGAGTGGATTGTTGTGAAATCAGATCTGTTGCTGCTTTGAGAATTAGTTGGGAGTCTCGCAGGGAGGGTGAAAACCTATCTTGCTTAGGGAGGGGCTTGGAGCGGCTTCCTTCAGAACAGAAGGCAGGAGAGCCCTAGATCAAAGCGGGAGGGTGGGTCATCCTCGGAGTGGCTTACTCTCACAAACGACAGCCTTTCAAAACTTGTGACTCGGGCTTGTGGTTTGTGTTTATTTGCCCTTGGAAGACGCTGGGCTGGGCTGCATTTTTTGTATTTCACAGTTAATGGCTGGCCGGGCCCTCCCAGGTTTGTTTTTTTTTTTTTTTTTTAAATTTCCTTCAAGTCTTTGCTGCCCCCTGGTGACCGCCCTCGGGATTACCTCTCTTTTTTTTTTTTTTTTTTACTACCCAAAGTTTGTAAACAGGAGTCACGTGGTCCGTGAAACCAGCCCTGCAGCTCGAGATACCTTTCCAGTCTGGGGAGGAAAGGGTGTGGGTGTCCGCCCGGGTTCTAGAGGGTGGGGAGGAAAGCCTCCCAGAGGGCACCGGCACCCTGGCTTAGGATGTCGTGCCAGGATCCTTGCCCGGATGCCATCTGCGATGAGAATCTCACCTGGCCCCAAGGCAGCGAGGGGGAGGCAGGGTTGGAGGATGGTCTGCGGGCGGCCTCAGACTGGGGCTGCGGCCAGCCCTGTTTGTTTCTTGGACTGGTTTGTAAGGATTTTTAGTTCAGGGTTTGAGCCGGGAGGGGTGGGTACTGCTTTGGGTTGGGAAGAAGCCAGAAACTACTTCTCCACTTTCCTCCTAGCCCAGGAGGCAATAATCAGGAGTTCTCCCGCCTCCTGAGAGAAGGGAGTGGGTGCTTTTTTGTTTTTGAAAGAAAGTCTTGCCGCTGGGCACACAGCCTTCGGGGTCGGCGTAGGCTGAGCCTTGTCTCTGTTCTGTCCCCTCCGTGCAGGGACGCGGGTGTACAGCCCTCCCGAGTGGATCCGCTACCATCGCTACCACGGCAGGTCGGCGGCCGTGTGGTCCTTGGGGATCCTGCTCTACGACATGGTGTGCGGAGACATCCCTTTCGAGCACGACGAGGAAATCATCCGGGGCCAGGTCTTCTTCCGGCAGCGGGTCTCCTCAGGTGACTTCCCCAGGCCTCACAGCCCGGACCTGTGGCTTAGAATTTATGGGCCCCAGATTTACTCTTGCACCGGCCCGGTGGTCACGTGTGTTTGAGATTCCTTAGGAGGTCAGAGGTCGAGCATATTAAGACGGTCGGGCCAGGGCGTGGGCATGGTGGCACACTCCTGTAATCCCAGCACTTGGGAGGCTGAGGCAGGAGGATTGTTGGAGTTCGAGGCCTGGGCTACAAAGTGAGCTCAAGGCCAGCCCAAACTGCATAGCGAAACCCTGTCTCAAAAAGACCCCCCCCCCAAAAAAAAAGAAACACCCCAACAAAAAACACAGTCTGTTCTCTGAAAAGTTCAATTTTTGATCTGGAGACTCAGACCCCAGTGTTCCTCTCTGCATAGGAGACAAGTGCTCTCCCCCTGAGCTGTATTCCCGTTTTAAGTTCCAATACTCTGGGAGGCTGAGGCAGGGGAGTCCAGGGTTAAGTCCAGCCTGGACAGTTTAAATTTAGCAAGATCCTGTCTGAGACAAAGGGGGAGAGGCTGGCATTGTAGCTCAGTGGGAAGGCTCTGGGTTTGATCCCTGGACCACCTGCGGGCATGAAACAGCCAGAGTGTAAAGGAATCACGGGTTTTCTTCCCTCCTCCCTTCTCTGTGTTGTGGTCCCGGTGAGCTCATGCCAGGCGGTGAGCTCGTTTGTAAGTTGGGGGCGAATTGAGTCACCTTGTTGTTCTCGGTGGTGATCTCGGTCCCTGTCATCACCGTCTTACTTCTGTGAGTGGGTGTCGTGGGAATGGCTCTGCCTATTGAAGTTTGGAAACCACAGCTTGTAAGGGAGGAGCCGCTTTCTAGCCAGAGTCTGCCGAGAGCCGGGTTTAGTGCATTCCTGTCCGGGTTAGGAGCACCTGCAGGCGCCGGAACGGAGCTTAACGGGTGTCATCCTGCCTCCCGCAGAGTGTCAGCACCTGATCCGCTGGTGCCTGTCCCTGAGGCCATCTGACCGGCCGTCCTTCGAGGAAATCCAGAACCACCCGTGGATGCAGGATGCCCTCCTGCCCCAGGAGACCGCCGAGATCCACCTGCACAGCCTGTCGCCGGGGACCAGCAAATAGCGACCTCCGGCGACCAGGTCCTCCGCTCCCTGCCAGACCCTCCAGGGAGGGAGGCCCCAGTGTCCAGCTCCTGACTCCCAGCGACACTTGGCCGTCTGGCCGAGCAGGACAGTGCTTGACACAGGAACAATTCACAACTCATTCCAGACCCCAGGGCCCTGTGTCCCCTCCTGGCGGGGACGGGGGCCCCAGGCTCAGCCCCTGCATAGATGCGCCTTCCTGGGCCCTGCTGGGCTGCTGGGAAACCGTGCTGGGGGTGGGGACCCTGTTGCGACGCTGTCCCTGTCTGCTGAACTCAAGGCGGGTCGGGTGGGGGACGGGCTGGGGTGGGGTAGGACTAGCGTCACGTGAAGTCCCTGTCACCTCCTCCGACTGTTCTGAGTGCCTTCTGTGGGGACTCCGGCTGTGCTGGGAGAAATACTTGAACTTGCCTCTTTTATCTGCTGCTTCCCCAAAAATCTGCCTGGGTTGGGTCCCCTGTTCCCGCCCCTCCTTCCTATGAAAGGTGCCAAGGGAGAGGCCGCGGGCCCGTTGCTGAGCCGCCCGCCCTTCTTTCTGCCTCCTGTAGTAAAACTCCAGTGAACCCGTCTTCCTCTTTGGTTTTTACTTAACCTGTTTCCAAGCCAGGACCTCGCATACACACACACACACACACACGCACACATACACACACACACACAATGCACGAACAATGCAAACGGGAAAGCTGTAAATGTGTGTACAGTTGGCATGGTAGTATACAAAAGGATTAGAGTTGATCTAATTTTTTTTTTTTAATTTTACCTTTAAGTTATTTTACCTGTTTTTTTTTTGTTTGTTTCATTTTCTGTTTTTGGAAAGATGATCATTCGAACCTGGAGGTCAACGTTATGTATTTATTTATTTATTTATTTGGTTCCCTTCCTGCTCTGAGCTTCCACAACTGCTGTTCTAGGATTTTGGGGGTTGGTTTTTTTTTTTCCTCCTTTCCTCCTCTGACTTGGGGACCTGTTGGGGAGGGACGCTTGCCGTGTGTAGGGTGACGGGACCCAGGCGGGACAGCCGCTGCGGCTCCCCAGCTTCTGGGGTGCAGGGTGTGGGTGTCGCTCTTGTACATAGGACGGAGGTCGGGACGCGGCTCTGGACGGTGTGTGCCTTGCGGGTCCTCCCTGGGGCTGTGTTTCGAGCAGCATGTGGCCTGCTGGTTTTATCTTGAGTGAAATACTGTACAGGGGAATAAAAGAGATCTTATTATTTTTTTTTTATACTTGGCATTTTTTGAATAAAAACCTTTTGTCTTAACTTGTGGTCCTAGTTGTCCATGCAGAGGCGCCTGCTAACTCCTGTGGATTTACTGGGCCGTCCCTGACAGGGGGCTGAGTCTGGAGTTAGAGAAAGAGGCTAGTCTGAGTTCCCTGGCGGTGCAGCGGGGGTCTCCTTTGCTGGGTAAATGAGTAGCAGAGGGCTAAGGGCAGGGTGACGTGGGCAGGAGAGGTCCTGTATCTGACCAACTACCTCCAGAGAACTGTTGCTGCAGAGAATTCCTTCCCTGGGGCTGACCTAGGGGTAGCATGCATGTTGCTCAAGTTACATTAGGAGTTTGTTTGCAGTAGCCTGCCACTAGTAAAGCATTTCAAAGCCTGGTGTGGCACCGGCACACGCTACGGGCCCGGTGAGGGGTGGTACACACCTGTAATCCCAGTGCCCAGGAGGCTGAGGCAGTATCATCTTGACTTTGAGGCCAGCCCCAACTACACAGAGCCTGTCTTCAAAACTGACCTTGATTAACAGTAAGACCTCCCACTCCGTCCTCTAAAATAAAACCTTTTAAGCGTTACTGAAAACACTACACCTTATTCCTTAGTTCCTGGGTCTGGTTCCCTCCTTACTGCCCTTGAGGTCTGGTCATTAACAATCCAGTGGGAGCGCACGGGCTCCGGGGTGCTGGCTAAAGCCTACACTGAGCAGAGCTGAAGGTGCCAGCGCCCCTGTTCCCTTTTTCTTTGTTTTGTCTTTTTGAGACAGGGTCTCGCTATGCAGTTCAGGCTGGCCTTGAGCTCACTTTGTAGCCCCGCCTGGTTTCCAACTCGCCATGATCCTCGCAGTGATCCTCCTGCCTCAGCCTCCCGAATGCTAGGATGATAGGGGTACGCCACCACACCCGACCATTTCCTTGTCCTTGGTCCCTCGTGTCTCCAGCCAGTGGTCCATTTTGTGAGTTAGTCTAGCTCGGCTGGGTGGCGGAGGCCTCCAGGAGCAATGTTACATCTTAGTAAATACATTGTGTCTAAGCATCAGCTGCAGTCTGCACCTTCTCCCGGGATGTGCAGAGGAAGGAAGGACTTCTCGGTCCTGGGGTGGCTTCCCGAGGTTCCCCTGACCCTTCCCCTCCTCCCCTGCCACTGCCAACCTCATGGAGTCTGCACCCTGCTTGCCTCATCCTTTCCAGTAGCGCTGCACTTGAACAATTAAAAGTTGCTCCAAACTTCTAATGAAATCAGGAAATGCCTCACCCTCTCCCTTGAAGTGAGTTTGCTTTTTTTTTTTCTTGTCTTTTTGAGACAGGGTCTCACTGTGACATTCAGGATGGACTTGAGCTCACTTTGTAGCCCAAGCTGGTCTTCAACTTGCAACAATCCTCCTGCCTCAGCCTCCCTCTCAAGTGCTGGGATTACAGGCGTGCGCTACCACACCCAGGACTTTTTGCGGTGTTTTTTTAAGATAGGGTCTCTTGATGTAGCCCAGGCTGGCCTGGAACTAACCAGGATCCTCCTGCCCCAGTCTCCTGAGTGCTGGGATCACCACGCCTGGCTGGGAACATCAGTTTGGGAATCTGCTCTGGATTTAGATTGTGGGCAGTTTACCCCACCCTGAGACTAAGAGCTTGTGCTCCTGGGTCTGGCTACCAGGAAGAGGAGGTTAAGCAGCGGATGTGTTGCATGGACAGATGCTCTTCCTCATGGATGCCCAGTGTGCAGTAGAGTTGGAAGAAAGGAGTTTCTGGATGTGGCAGTGTTCCCAGCTCTGTGAGGGAGGCTTCTGCTCAGGGAGAGGAGTCTCCCCCGTTACTCTGGCGATGCTTCATGGCCTAAAGTAGGCAGCAAAGATGATGGCGAGCTGGGTGTAGGGCTGCGTGCCTGTAATGCCTATAATCCCAACACTTGGGAGGCTGAGGCAGGAGGATCCTCACGACTTTCAGGCCAGCCTGGGCTATATAGCCAGGCCCTGTTCCCCCCCCCGCCGCAAAAAAGATGAAAGTGTTTTTCTTGTTCTTTATTTTCTTTTATTTGAGTCTGTCTTGTTCTTTATAACAGAGCACAGATAAGAATCCTGTCCAAGGTTACATGTTAAGAAGTGGCCAGGCCAGGCGTGGTGGTGCACACGTGTAATCCCAGCACTCGGGAGGCTGAGGCAGGAGGATCACTGAGGGTTGGAGACCAGGCGGGGCTACAAAGTGAGCTCAAGGCCAGCCTGAACTGCATAGTGAGACCCAGTCTTTAAAAAAAGACAAAAAAACAAACAAACAAACAAGTAGCCAGGGCAGAATTTGGTTTGTCTAAGGTACTTCTTGAGACTCTGCTGGGAGAGGTGGTTTCTAATGTCATCCCAGCAGTGGGGAAGCTGAGGCAGGAAGATCGCCTTGATCTCAAGGCCAACGTGCGCTACATAGGGAGACCCCGTTGCAAAAAATCAGAAAGAATAAGTGGCCGTGTCAGAGTTCGGACCCAGGGAGTCGGCATGCAGGACCACTCTGCTGTCCTGAGCGTCCTTGTGGCATGTGTGTTTGCTTCCGGAGCGTTGGGGATGGAATCCAGGGCCCTGTGCAAGCTGATACGGGACACCTGCTGTCCACGTGGCTCAGCCCCTGGCCCTCGATCCCGGGCCCAGGACCCGGAGGGCAGCGTGCCCACCTCTAGCTGCCAGGGTCAGGTGAGCACCGGTGTCCATAGGACGCTCCCTGCTGCCTCCAACTCCGCACCCCACCCTTCCACCCGGGCTTGGAAGGCGGGAGCGGCCCAGGCGGGGCTGGGAGGGGCGAGGCCATTTCTTGTAAATATTGCTCAGCTTCTTCAACTGCTGCTACTTCTTGGAAACCCTCACCACAGGCAGCCTATCGACAGCCAGGCCGAGCCAGATATGGCCTCAGCCCCCACGGCACTTCCGCCCCCGATTGCCAAGAGCAGGGTTGCACTGACCCCCGCACCCCTGTGGGAGGAAGTGCAAAAATAAGCAGAACTAGGGCAAGCCCAGAGGACTTTATTTTTATTCATCGTGACAGGACATCCGATGTACGGAATTGGATTCCTCGTGACCTCTGGTTCGAGGTAATGTCTCTTCCCTGGTCTAAGCGTGGCCGCTGCTATGTCGTATTATATTGCGCAATGGAGCCAGGGGTGGTGGCGCACGCCTGTAATCCCAGCACTCGGGAGGCTGAGGCAGGAGGATCACTGTGAGTTCAAGGCCCACCTGGGCTACAAAGTGAGTTCAAGTCCAGCCTGAGCTGCATAGCAAAACCCTGTCTCAAAAAGGAAAAAAAAAAAATTGCACAGTGGACATTCCACCCAGCTCAAAAAAACAGAAGGATACTAACTTTGGAGGCTGAGGCAGGAGGACTGTAAGTTCTAAGCCAGCCCAGTCATTTAACAAGACCTGTCTTGAAATAAAAAAATAAAAATGGCTGTGGCCTGGCATGGCAATACATGCCTGTAATCCCAGCACTCTGAGAGGCTGAGGCAGGAGGATTGCAAGCTTGAGCCCAGCCTGGGCAATTTAATGACTTAGAGAGACACTGTCTCAAAATAAAATAAAAAAAGAGGCTGGGGGGTGTGGCTCAGTGTGAAGGCCCTGGGTTCAATCCCTTGTACCCCCAAAACCAAACAAGCTGGGCATTGTGATGCAAGCCTATAATCACAGCACTTGGGAGGCTGAGGCAGGAGGATCACTGATAGTTCAAGGTCAGCCTGAACTACACAGCAAGACCTTGTCTAAAAAACCAAAACAAACCAAAATAAAACAAAAACAACTTTAGCAATGCCACGCACCTGTCTACGTGATGTCAGTCCAGCCTCCAGGTGGAATCCTTCTGGTTTTTGTGTACAGCATTCTCTTGTTTGTTGTGTTTGTTTGTTGGTATTGTGTTTTGTTTTTATCTCCCCTCCCCGTACTGGGGATAGAACTCACGACCTTGCGCTTGCCAGGCAGGCACTGTGCCACTGAGCTAAATCCCCAGCCCCTTGTTTTAAGACAGAATCTCACTGTGTAGTCCAGGCTGACCTTGAAATCTCAGTGATCCTCCTGCCTCAGCCTCTAGAGGGTTGGGATTACAGGTGTGAGCCACCATGCCTGGCTAATTTTCTTTTAAAAAATAGTTTTCGTATTTAGGGGCTCCGTTGTCTTCTTTGGTTTTGGATGTTTGAATCCAGCGCCTCCTGCAGGTGGAGCATGCAGTCGGAGGACAAGTCTCAGCTATTCTCAAACTTCCTCAGAGCAGCCTCCAGCTCCAGAGGCCGGGAAGCCGCTCTGCCCATGCAGTGTGACAGTGGGGGCCGGCCCAGGCCTCGCTCTCTGTACCCCTGGGGTCCCGGTGCCTGGGAGGTACACACGCATGGCAAGGTGCGGCAGGGTACAGGACCCAGGGTGGAGCCCAGTGGTGGCGGCAGCAGGCCCCTTGGGGCACGTGGCTGCCCAGGCCCACGGGCACCCATTCAGAACCCCCTTCGTGAGGCTGAGCTGGCCTGCCTTAGGGTTCTGATTGACAGCGGCATGTGGACCAGGAGTACAGCCGAACAGAGGCCGGATGTTCAGCAGAGCCCTGTGAGATCTGTGGAGTGTGTATTTGGGGTTTGTGGGGTACTGGTATACTGAGGCTTGAATCCAGGGCCTTTGCACTGAGCTCCATCCCCAGCACTTGCCTAAATTTTTTCATTTTCAGCCAGGGATAGTGGTACATGCTTGTTTTCCCATAGCACTGGGTAGGCTGAGGCAGGAGGATCACTGTGAGTTCAAGGCCAGCCTGAATTACAAAGTGAGACCCGGTCTCAAAAAAAAAAAAAAAGAAAAAAAAATCAAATCATTTTTAGACAGAGTCTTGCTGAGTTGTTAAAAGGCCCAGGCTTGGCTTGAATTTGGGATCCTCCTGCCTCAGCCTCCCAGGGCGCTGTGATTTCAAGTGTGCACCACCATACCTGGCAGGTGTATGGATCTTGCAGTCGTACGCGTGTGTCTGTGGTGTGGGGTGGCGCAAAGGTGTGAGCACACGTACGGGCTCCGGCGTCTGCAGCGAGTGTGGGGGTGGGGCGGGG